TTCATGTCCGCACTTTGGACTGGTTCCTGTTGCCAGGTATATCCATACCCGTCGCAATACCATCCAGAAGCATCGTCCCACCATGTCTGCGAAACTCCCCATTGACCATCACAGCTATGCGGCCATTGGTCATGCCAACAATAGTCATCATCGTCCCAACTCTCAGCAGTCCAGTCGGTCCAATCCTCTGAAACTTCATTCAATTTGCCTTTCTTTCCTTTTCCTTTGCTACCTTTAGAGCCTTTTCCTTTGGAACCTTTCTTGTCCCACGAGTCAGATTTTACAATTCCCTTACCTTTTCCATTCTCAGGGCAATTGAAACTGACATGTCCTGCTTTCCCACATCGAAAGCATCTGATCTTACTGACGTCCGCGGTGCAAGATCCTGCAGTGTGCCTTCTGCTTCCGCACTTCCCGCATCGGCCTTCTACCGCGTCGACGCCGAACTCATCAAAGGAATGGCTCTCTGCATTCCCCTCCAGAGAGTTCACTTTCTTATTGTTGCCTGTTGTCTCGAAATCACTGAACAGGCGTTGTTGCTCTTCCCACCGCATCGCAGCGTTCCGGTAAGACTCATAGTTGTCTGCGCTGCTGTGGTGGAGGACATAATTCTTCACTGTTTCAGGCAGGCTTTTCAACAGAACAACTAGCATGTCTGAGTCTGCCAGCTTCAGTCCTGTGGTGTCCACCTGCATAGGGAGAGCTCCTAGCAACCTTGAAAATCTTGCTGACTCAAAATCAATTTTTCTGATAGTGTCGCTTACTAAGGAACTCGGCGATGTTTGTGTCGCCGCCAGGACAAAGGATCTCCCTGCAATCTGCGTCCTTAGTGAGAGCGCTTCGGATCTTGACCTTAGAGAGAATTCAAGAGTAAGTTGCCTAAGCAGCTCAAACCCGTTTGCTTGTTGGTTTACTGCCACTGTCACTCTGTCACTAGATCCTACTCCATGTAATGCCACACCCTCACTGAAGGCGTTCACCAACGCCACACACCTGGGGTTGTCGTGAAACGCAGCTTTTAAGATGGACATAAGCCTTCGAGACCTTGCCTGTTGTGCTCCACTGAGAGCACTCCATCTGATAGGACCGGGCCAACGGCTACTATGCTGGATTTCTACAGAAAATTCTAAACTACCACCAGCTGCCCAGGATGACAACTCATCCAAATAGCCAGCCCAACCTAACACCTCTTCTTCTCTTGTCCTCCAAGTTCCTACTGGCGTTGGTGCCGGTGTCAACCATTTTTCGCTTTTGGCGAAGACATCCAATTGCTGTGAATTTCCATGACTGTTTGATTGTTGAACACCAAAACCAGGCAAAACATCAAATGGCTGCGGAGTCACAAACGACGAATCAGCTGCCCTACCAAGACCATCACCAAACACTTCTGGAACCCCTCTTCTTTGTTGCATAGTTACAAAACGATCTTGCATATGCTGCTGCACTGTCTGCAACTGTCCCTCATTAAGATTGCCTAACATGGCCATGACCTCTTGGATCTGCGCCGCTTGAGGTGTCAAACCTCCCAAACTCGCTCCAACTGGGCCACTCGGCATGTTTCCTTGGTAATTCATCGGGTTCACTCCTAAGTTTGGAACACAACCAGACCTTGGTCCACCAGGCATACTCGCACAACCAAAACTCGGTACACGCGCTTGCGAATTCTGTTGCATAAACGTTTGTTGTTGGGGAATCCATTGCGCACCAAACCATGCTGGTCCCTGTCCTTGCATTACGGGCATGTTTCCTTGTTGACATCCCTGCACCGGATACCCTTGACCACTTGCATCCAGGTTTGTCGTGCTCGCAAATCCCTGTACATTCTGTGACACATTTGCTTGTTGTTGCTGTGGCTGCTGCTGGGGCATGGTACTTGTTTCAGGTGTTTGTCCATCCATCCCAGATCCACTACCTTGCTGACTAGGCGTTCCAGGCACTGGCGGCAATCCGTCACTACGGTTACAACCACCATTTCCGGTGCCAGGTGGCAATCCGTCCCCACGGTTACAACCACCACTTCCTTCACCTCTTTCAGCCATACCAGGACTAGGACAACCTTGCACACCTTGGCTCGCATTACCTGGATCCATTCCTACTACGCCTCTACGAGCTGCAAGCAGGCAGCTCCGCTACCATGCGGAAGGTAACCTCAACCTTCGAAACCTCTAGACCTACTTGGGTCAGCGTCCAGGACGTCGTCCTTAACAAACTAGACCGTCTACGCAACCAAGTCAACCACTCCCAGAGCTCAGCCACTTTTACCACAACACACAAGAGACAAGATGTTTGCTCATGTCGCTATGGTTCTTGTTGGTGTGTCACTCCTTGACACAAAACAGATGCGGAGTCGCAAGTTAGCATCTTTCTGCCAACTTCACAAAAGCGATCAAAAACACATGTCGTCACAAAAAGTCTTTACATCAAGACATGGTTTGTTTGTTTAAATAAGTTTGAGTGTTTGAAAACTGTTGAAACATTTCAAGCACCAAAACGTGTTCTGTGATGTCTCCCTCAGATCTGTTAGCAACTCCAGTTCTGAATGCCTTTCAGAACGTTGCTCTCGCTATCATCATTGAGAGACAAAACAACCTAAAGTTCTCCGATCAATGTCAAACAAAGTTCCTTCTTCCGAAGTCACAAAATGAATTCTACGATCTTCTCACGATTCATTCGTGCACTTCACCGGTGGAAACTAAAGCAAAAGATATGGAAAATGGTTTGATTTTCCATGTCACTATACAAATTCAAATCCTCACTGTGTTCTCCGTGCAATCAAAGTACTCAAAGAAGACGAAAAGTATATCGTTGTAGGGTTTCGTCATCTCCAATAAAACGTGCAAAACATGAAACGTGCAAATACAATGTCAACCATCACGGTTGAGCTCACCATCAAGGTGAAAAGCAAATTCACTTCTTCCAATGCAGAAAGACCAAATGGATTCATCTCACCACAGATGTCAGAAATTTTCACATAAAATCCGCCCACACCGCTTTGGCGGTGAAGGCGTGCTTATTGGGGGGCAACAGCAACACTAAATGCTCAATGACATTTGTTAATATAGCAGTCGCTATATCAGCTTTAGCTGGGGGGGGCCAAAAACGGTTTCGCACCGAGACCAGAATACGGTGGTGTTTTCGACATTTTTCGAGGATTTTTGGGTGTCTGAGCGCAAGAGGGTATTGAAATGGAATTTTGGGTCATTTTGGTAGCTTTCCGGCAATGGAAAAACGGCCAAAAATGAAAAAAAACATTGTACATAGCAAGATTTTGCAGGGTTTTTGGATGCCAGAGCATTGAAAACACTGCAAAAACAAGTGTTTTGGACTGACGTTATAGCAAAAAACGTGTAAATTACCGTATGCTTGACTGGAAACATTACAAAAACACTGTCAAAAGCAATGTTTTGGAAGGATTTACTGCCTTTATGGCAAAAAAACGTGTAAATTACCGTCTGTTTGACTGGAAACATTGGAAAAACACTGTCAAAAACAATGTTTTGGAAGGATTTCTTATATATATGTTGGAGTTGGCTACCGGCATTGGAACATGGAAAAATTGAAGAAAACACTGTAAATAGCGGTATTTTCAACGGTTGGGGAGATAAGGGAAAAGTGAAAATTCCCTAGCTTGGGGAGCCCCCACGGGGGGGGAAAGTGAAAATTCCCTAGCTTGGGGAGCCCCCACGGGGGGGAAAATGAAAAAAACATTGTACATAGCAAGATTTTGCAGGGTTTTTGGATGCCAGAGCATTGAAAGCACTGCAAAAACAAGTGTTTTGGATTGACGTTATAGCAAAAAACGTGAAAGATTACCGTATGCTTGACTGGAAACATTACAAAAACACTGTCAAAAGCAATGTTGTGGAAGGATTTACTGCCTTTATGGCAAAAAACGTGTAAATTACCGTCTGTTTGACTGGAAACATTGGAAAAACACTGTCAAAAACAATGTTTTGGAAGGATTTCTTATATATATATATGTTGGAGTTGGCTACCGGCATTGGAACATGGAAAAATTGAAGAAAACCCTGTAAATAGCGGTATTTTCAATGGTTGGGGAGATAAGGGAAAAGTGAAAATTCCCTAGCTTGGGGGGCCCCACAGGGGGGAAAAGTGAAAATTCCCTAGCTTGGGGAGCCCCCACGGGGGGGGAAAGTGAAAATTCCCTAGCTTGGGAAGCCCCCACGGGGGGGAAAAGTGAAAATTCCCTAGCTTGGGGAGCCCCCACGGGGGGGAAAGTGAAAATTCTTAGCCAAAAATTGAAAAAACATTGTACATAGCAAGATTTTGCAGGGTTTTGGGATGCCAGAGCATTGAAAACACTGCAAAAACAAGTGTTTTGGACTGACGTTATAGCAAAAAACGTGTAAAATTACCGTATGCTTGACTGGAAACATTACAGAAACACTGTCAAAAGCAATGTTTTGGAAGGATTTACTGCTTATAAACTATAATTCTGGTCACCCAAAACTAAATTCTGGCCACCAAAACTAGATTCTAGCCACCCAAAACTAAATTCTGGCAAACATTTTGTATGTATTTGAATTTTGGCTTGGGTTGATTGAAAACCAACCTTTGGCTGAGTGAAAACCAAGTTTAGGGTGGTAAAATACAAGAAACATGATGCAACATATGTCTTATAACAACTCTTTTTTTTCCTGCATTTCAATTTTTGGCTGAACCATATGTTGTCTTTGCCCATCAACCTATGAATCTACCATACTCGAAGGGCAGACACTTGGTTGCCGCAGAAGTTCCACTGGAACAACTTCAGAGGTGGTTATGGACATCCCTACTACTACTACTATACAAATGATTGGGCATGATTATCTGATTGGGCCAACTGCTGGCCAGCATGATCTTCCTATTTTACCATCTATGACCATTCACCCTTCATCTTTATGGTGGTTCATTTATCACTCAACTGGACCAGCAACTGCAGTGCCCATGGATGTCCATCCAAGAGGCAACCCTTCCTATCCCTTGTAACGCGGCCCCCTTTTTGCAGTGACACAGCCCGTTTCGGATTGGGATTCTTTGCCCGACATCTCTCAATGGCTATGCCGGCTATGCAGCTATGCTATGGATCTATGGATGCCACCATTGAGACCAGGCTGGGCGCCCATTCCACAACTCCTTAGGTGCTACTCGTTTTCTCCATTTGAGTCAGTGAAATTGACAATACCATACCATACCAACAAATTTCCGTAAGAGGAGTCGACTGGTAGTTGCGCTGACTGAGGTGGATGGGACATCAAGAAATGAAGTGACGTTCTTTGCGATGATCCAACAAGTTTTGAGCCAATGTGGAAGATCTCTGGGATTGTGTGGCTAATTATTGGCTTTGCTATCCTCTTGAAATCTGGAGCACATCACAATCTCAGCATTCATGATTCTCGTACCCTACTGTATATGCAAAGAATCCGGGCCGGCATGGCAAGTCGTTCCCCCACTCAAGAAAAAACCCAATCCCAAATTGATGAAGGCAAGCCACGTTGGAGATGATCTGCATTTTTGAAAGGTCTGCGTGATGGCCACTACCTAGGATGGCAAAACAAAGATCAGGATTGGATATGGATCTACAATCTAGAAACTGGCAAAGGTGCAGCGGTAACTGTTGACTGAGACTTTTCTAGATTCAGTTCATTACAATACACTGGTGGGAAACACGCCATACACAGGCACGGTCCGTGTGGACTCTTTTTGCGGAAAACCCGATATGACTGGCACTGGCACCATGTTCGGTCTGCTGTGGAAAGCAATCCTCTGATCATAATCGCTTCCAAACCAGGGGACTTTGGCACCTTTGCTACCTTCACCTTTACTACTTTGGCTACAAGAACCTTTTCTGTGAACAGTCCCATTTCCAATTATGCCTCACGGAGGATCGCCGCAAACATTGTCCAGCCCAAGTTTCTATCCCACTACTCAGGCCAAGACAAGATTTTGCCGTGCTATCTCGTCATTTCCCCTGTGTAGGACACGGCACAGTACTCCTTGCCGTATCCGCAGCCAACTCCATCCAACCAGTTCAGATTTTGGCTCTGCCAGTAGTCCACGACCAAGACCATGCCATCCGCCAAGTTTTCTGGGATGGCAACACAATTCCGCAGATTGGCGATCTGTTTCGTGTGGTTTCTTAAAAGTGTCTGAGAATGAGCAATATCACCAAAAGACTCACCTGCTTCTAAATTGGGTTTGACCGTAGCAAGAACAAGAACAAGAACCTCTGGTGCTAAAAAATGACATATGCATGCGTTAAAGTCAGGGCTGGCCCCGCTTTGTGGGAAAGCCGTGTTCTTGTCAAACTTTCCCAGCCAAGAACGCCAAAATGTGCCAAGATTCTCCATTGTGAGTTGACTGGGCTGCCTACTCCACCAAATTGCTTCATGACAGTTTTGCCCTTGGAGGCCGGCGCAGCACTGACTCTTTCCACACTTCGAAAATCTCATGCTTGACACAGTTTCTCGCAAATATCACGATGACAGAATGTGAGATATGAACCCCCCTGTCAATTAAGGGGTGGGGCTGTGCAACCATTTTGTAGTGAAGAAACGGCTTGCATAGCCTCAAGCTCTCCTAAATGGATGCGCATGCATGATCGAATTTCACTACTAAATGTGGGCCCCTGGTTCAGCTGAAGCGCAAAATTTGGATATATTTTCAGAGTGTCTTAAGACACCAACATGACTCGACCAAACACCCTGTTCCATTTAGTAGCGGTACTCATTTGAGCACAAGTTGCGGGACCAACATCACTCGACCAAAACCCCAAAGCCATTTAGTAGAGAAATATACGGGGTCCATTTAGTAGAGAAAACAAACTGAAACACATATGACTGATCCCATGACCATCCATTAGTAGAGGCAGCACTTGGCTAAGCAGGGGAAATCTTGATAGATTTTGGACATTTTGGGACTACAAAATGGTGTTCCACAGCACGTACGGGATAATAGGGCACACAAGGATGCAACAGGGCTTTGTGTGAAACAGTTCTAGATAGACTTATCCCATGACCATCCATTTAGTAAGCACCCGACGAGCAAGAAACACCCAAGCGAGGGATTTGGCATCGCCCCCAAGAACCCAAACACGAAAGGCAGCACCCGACGAGCAAGAAACACCCAAGCGAGGGATTTGGCATCGCCCCCAAAAAAGGCAAGGTAGCACGATGGGTTGGCCAAACGGTTATCGGTGGCAACGGAATGGGAATCTTACTAAATGGTTTTTCAGTTTTGTCTCATTTCATTGTGACCGTTTTATGAACTCTACTTCGCAACCTCTACAAAATGGTTCCTGTGATTTTGCAACATTTTTTTGACATCTCTACTAAATGGTTTTACCCAAAAACAACATTTGACATCATATGATTAACATATCATTTTTACCTCTCTACTAAATGTGGATCATGGGTCTAGAGATGTTTACTTGATTTTTTTTGAAAAATCATGATTCTCTACTAAATGGTTTCTAGAAATTTCACACTAAATTTTTGGTTCACTTTCCGGGACCTAGGTCATAGCATTTAGTAGTGGAAATTGGCAGGAGGATAGATATGAGTCATACGAGCACATACCTTCCCAATCTCACTCTCTGATTTCCCTGGCCTAGTGTTGGCCAGGAATGGAGCATTCATACAACGTTATCCAGTCTTCCCTTGATGGGTGCCGAGTGGCATTCTGCCAAAGGCGCGCATAGACCATCAGGTGGTTGTCTGGGTCGTTGTTACCAGCAATGTTCTGGCCCAGGTGAAGAAAACATAAGAAAACCACACAATTCTTGTCTGAAGTTGTTTTATGATGTTTTATGTTGACACTTGAACAAGCATGAAAAGATATGAAAAGCCAAGGAAAATAAAACAACCTTGGTTTGTGCTTTCATTTCAGGGCATCAGGTTCCTCCTCGCTTCTACTAATTTGCAAGTTGGCTGCAAGCTAGTTAGTCTGGAGACTCTTATGATCGACACTTTAAGCTGTCGATTCGTTCCAGTCATTGCTGCTGCAACTGCCCCAGCTCATCTCAGGAACCATCTCCCATGCCAAAGAGATCCAAAGAGTATGCCTTTTTGTGCTCCACTCCCTGTCCCAAGATTGTCCCAAACCCCTTGGACTTGAAGTGCAAAGGTGAAGGGCTTGGTAGTGTCAATGGTGTGCCAACCTCAGAGCACGATGGAAAACATGCTGGCCTCGTCTTGTCGGATCCTTTCATCTCGGGATGCCCCCTTCAGGGCTTCAGGGCATCCTTCCATCTTACTGTTCCTTGCGATTCCCTGTAGGATTCCTTGGGTGTCCGTATTTATCACCAGCTGATGTCAGTTTCCTTCAATCAACAATCTGCTCAGTGCCTTCCAGGCCCATACTCTGGCGGTCCAAATCTGACCATGGGATGTCCTCAGCACAAACAACTTCCCAATCGCCACGTCATCCATTGCCTTTGTATCCTCCCGCAAAACTGAATGACTTACAGCTTTTGTTCAGCATATGCCCCTGCGCACTTTGCGAACAAACTAGTAACTAGTACAAACAAGAGCAGCCGCCTTGCCGAAAAAGAATGTCTGAACACATGAATGCTATCCGAAATGGAAACTGTCGCAATTAGAGTCTGGCTATGCGATTCTACGCTTTACTGTATCAGGAGAAGTGCGTGTAACCTTCGCATCCTGACGAAGTAGGTTTTTATGCAAAATCCTTCGGCACAGACTGATAAATCTAATAACATGTAACACACTGGTCCCGTTAGGCAAATGGTGGAACCGGTATGGATTCCTGACGCCAACCAAATGTGTCAACTGCAATCCGAGCACCATCGCCGTCGCAACTGCCCCTGCTCGGATTTCGGCAACACACACTATGCTATACCTTGAAAGCGCTTTGGCCGCCCTGACTCCTGCTGGCGCAAAGACTGCAGAATTCTTTGGCCCGTGACAAACGAAACGTTCTGACTGTCAAGATCTTTCGCGCGACTGCAGGTGGGAAAGCAGTCAAAGTCAAATCTGCTTGTTGGCACCTTGGGCATGTCAAGCCAGCAAATGTAGCAAAACGCATTGCATGGTCCCGCTCAAAGAGACACCTATAGCAGATTGGCAGCTTTCCGTCAGGAGACACAAAATCAATCCCCGGGGCTGTCACAGCACACAAACTGCATGTCAACAAAGGTTTCTGTGCGCATGCAAGGCAACTGGGTCTTTGACGAGACCATGAAAACTTTGGATTCGAAAAGATTTCCTTTGCTACAGCTGGCTGAAATGCATGTAATGTCAGATCTGGTGTTTGGCAAGTATGACAACACAGATTGGTAAATTTTGTCCACACTGCCGGTTTCTTCTGTTGCAAGAAACATCGCCAACAGTGGGGCTGGCCAGTGGGTTGGCCAGTCGAAATGTCCCAAGCTAGGGCATCGGCCGAGTCACTATGCCCACACGTGACACAAACGAGCTTTGTATCATGGCAGCTTGCACAAACCCATGTGCGCTCACACTGAAGACCTCTTCCCGTGTCTGGATTTGGTTTTCTCTGTCGGCACACAACGCATTTCGGAAAAGTGCAGTCGGTGCAATACGCATGGACGTTCCATGTGTTATCTGCTTGGAATTGTTTGTGCTTCTCACGAACCCATGAGAAAACCACTTCCCTTACCAGCGCAGGCGGGAAAGCTCGCAAAGTCAAGTTGCTTCTTGCACAACGTCGACATCTCAGATCCTGGTTGTTCGGTGTCTGCATGACTTGTGGGTTTTTCCGCTTACACGCCTGGGGTTAACACAACGAAATAAAATCAAAAACTATTCACCGACACAAAACCAAACAATCCAGGACAGGCCTTCTTGGCGCGAAAGCTCTCTGGGTGACGTTCTTCTGCCAAGCAGATCCAACACAAGCAACGCAAAGATGTAGCCAATCCTCGTAATTCTTCTGTGGCAAAACAATTTTCTGGCCAAACTTCTTTGCACCGTGTGCAAGCAACACTTTCACCGGGTGCCCGGCTAACTTGCGTCCCATGTTCAGACTCATGCCGGTAGCAAAGCATTACCCCAGTTTCCCCTGCATCCCAACGCCTCTGCGTTTCTGTGGAAAAGGCACCGCGGCGACACAAATCTTGACACTGTTCACACATCAAGAAACGAGTTCCTCGCTGGTTGGTTTTCGTCCGCTGACATTTGTAGCAGAGAAGGTCATAACCAAGCAAAATGTGTTTCCAAAGTTTGTCTTTCGAAATATCTTCGATAAAACATCGCGCCGGCCACCTGCAGTCTTTGTCACTTGCTGTCTCAGAACAAGTTCTGCACGGGAGCAAGAGTTTTGTCCATGCGGGTTGTTTGCGACTGTCGACAGAGCTTTGCTTTGACGCCTCCCCCCACTGGCGCTGCAGCTCTTCCAAGGTGATCTGACCTCGAAGGAACGTAAACAAAATAAAACATCTCAACCAGCTCGCACGTGTATATGGGGACCGCCACATCATTTGTGTCTCCCGATCTAAGTCACAACTTAGGTGGAACTTCCAACCCATCACCCGCGCTCCAAACAGACAACTTACACCGCAACATGGATCTGGATGCGGAGGTGGCTACGTCACCCATTGGAATTTTTTACAGTAAACTTTGTGGCGCTAAATTGCAAAAAAAAAACTGACCCTAGGGAACCGTCACGTGTTCAAACAAAAGTGTACCGAATTTGTTCTTCTCCCACCTTGCTGCCTTGCCAAGAGAAGAGTGGGGCCTGGAAGATCAGGTTGCCGAAACAAGTTCGGATTGTACGGCTGAATGATCAACATATCATCCGCCCGTTTCACTCTGGAACGTATAATGTAAGCCCTCAAGAAACTGTCCAAAGTTGGCGTCATTGTCCAATGCAAAAGATCGCCCTTACAGGCACCAACTGTGGCCCCACAGTACTGACGCGCAGTGCCGGCAAAATCTGGAGCAAGCTGAAAACCAGTCCGATGGATTTCAATGTTGCCATCCCGCCAGGTTCTTCGACAAGGACGCAAATCAAACAGAGAAAGCACATTATTCTCGGAATTGGCATTGGAGAGTTGGATGCGCAGATACTGCGGAAAAGCCTCCAACAGAATTTCTGGCTCAACAAGCTTTGCAATTCGGAATAACTCTGCGCTTGGCAGACACCACCCTACCAAAGTTCCTGTCGCATGCTTAAATGCCCCAACGTCTCTGTTACAAGTCTCTGTCAGTCGGACAGGCATTCCTTTTACGAGTGGTAGAACACCCAATAGACCGGCAGTCTGCTTGTCATGTTTGCGAAGCCATTCCCGTTGCTTCGTGTGCACTTCTGCACTGTTTCGGAAAACACTTGGGTCCCGAGGTTCATCCTGGGCAACAATCCAAAATACTTTCCGTGAGCTCGCCTTTGCAAATAGCACAGCATGGCTGATTTGGGCTTGATACTTTGGCAAATTGAACGGATGCACATATGGAGCCGCTGCAAATTTTGGCGACATGTGTGGACCTTCTCCCTCTGGGATGCTCAGTAAGACACGGCAACGTCGTAGTCTTTCTGCTTGGCAGGCTTCACACTCTTGCTCCTTGAGAGTCTGCCACTGTGTGTGACCCCGGACATTTGGCCACACCTCATCTTGCAATGCCTGTCAGGGCTCGCCAACCCAACCAACGCTACCCGAAAATCAACGTCCCCCCGCAACATTGTACGAAACTGAACTCCTTCTAGACTACAGCCATTGCAACATCTTTATCCCTTTCATTGCAGGTACACTATAATAACCCTTTTTAGCACACGACAAGCTTCCCCTGCCTGGCACATTTGGTTGCCGCAGCCAACAAAAGCCTGCCCTGGCAGCCAAGTTCCCACATGTTGGGTGGGAAGGCCATGAGTGAAACAATAAGTTTCCCATGTCTCTTTGCCAGCGCGCAGTTCCGACAAAACATGTTGTTGCCATGGGTCATCTGTTCGGTGTTGTCTATGCAGCACCATACAACTACCTGGCTCATCTGGGAAAGTTTCCGGGCTCAGGCCCCACAATGCATCAGACAATCGTTTCTCTGGCCCTGACAAGTTCAGTCCGGTGCTGAAAGGATTTGCGAACAGCGCACGTTCAGCCACTGGGGGGAGCTGTTTATAGTCTCCTACAAATATAACATTCAGGCCTCCATACAAACGCGGGTTCTGCTGCGCGTCAAGAGACCAAGGATTGCGAACCAGTGCCCGCCGACAGTTTCGTTCCAAGAGACCCAGGACGCGCAATGCAGCGCAAGATATTTCATCGACAATGAGCCACCGCAAGCGGCTACAATGCAAGAACATTTTGGTCACATCTTCATTCTCACCTGTGCTTTGGTTCCCGTCCTGCACCATTGGAATACAACCCCAGGAATGAATTGTGGCGCCGCCAACTAAGGCGGCCATGGAATTCTGCGCTGCTAAAACTTGATATTGTACACCCATTTCCCACCCCAGGACATCTCCAAAAAGTTTGGCCGTCCACTTAATGCACTGGGACTTTCCCGTACCGGGACCTGCTACCAAAGTAATTCGACGGGGTTCAGAACGCAAACCTTGTGGAGTATTCTGAAAATCTTCCATGGCTTCTGTCTGGAGCCTTCGAGCAACTTTCCTCAAGTATAGCAACTGTTCTGAATTCGGTTGAATTAGTTGTTCCTTCAGACTGTCAAACCAACGAGCTACATCCAAAACATTGAAGCCAGGATAAAACTGGCTTGCACTGCCGTCCAAGGCTTGCTTTGGACGTCTTTTCCGTCTTGTGGGCATTGCGGGGTTTTCCGGTATGTGGCCATCCCCCTGCAAGGTTTCTTCCCATGGCAAACGGCTGGGATTCCACAAGGCCGCGCCTATCTCCAGCGCATCTTGCACAGAAGCAGATACATGGTCAAATTTTCTCTTCGCCGGCTTCCGAGGCTCAGCACATTCAAACACGGCATGGAGATCTTTTAGGTCCCAAGCTTGTTTTTTGATTGGCACTTGGTCGGCAATGTCTTCTGGCAAATCCACATCACGCTCACTGCTTGCACAATCACATATGGACATGAACTGTTCAATCAATTTTTTTTGATGCTTGCTCACAATGTTTCCATCGATATACCACTTCCACGCTGCCAAGAAAGTTCTTGGCTGTTCAGGCTGTTTCCCGCGCAATCTTCTGTTTGGCACATAATCTAGATCTTCTATTAAAGGAACATGGTAGGACGCGTGCTCTGGCACCAAGGTCCATGGACGCATATACACACAATACAAACGGGCTGCCTCTTCACCTCCATCCCGGTCTCTGCGAGGTACCTTTGTCCTCATAGGCGCCGGGACAGCCAGACAAAAACGTTTCTGCAGGTACCAAACGGACGACAAGGCTTCTAACCCAGGGGAATCTGGATATAGAACTTGGTCTGGCACTTGTAGATTGTATCGGTTCACATCTTTGTCATACCGTTTGACTTCCCAATACATACAAAACTCCCACGGGCTCAAATAGAGAAGTTTGTCAAGGTTTGGTCGATAGCCGTAAAAGTCACAAAAATGACCTACCAGCAGCCGTTCTTGTCTGACTTTCTCGTCCACACATGGAATAATTCTTTCTTTGAATACGGTTTTTTTGCTGCACTTGCCGCATCTTTCCTCCAAACGTTTCAGCAACTCGTACCCAGGAAAGTTTGAATGTTTGTATGTTCGCACAAATTCAGCGTTGAAGTAATCCTCATCATCGGCGCGCATTGCCAAATTCATGTCTTCATTGCCGGATCGTCGAACCTGCACCAGACAAATCCCTATCTGCTGGTTAACTTATCTAATCCTATCTTCACCACATGCACCTTCCGAAGCATCCCACACCAAACCAAACAAACAGAAACACACACACACACAAAATCACGCAATCAAAACCGAGCCACAGTTTGCAAGTAGAAGTCACTCATGGTTCGCACC